CAGGGCATGATTTCATTGTTTTGTGGCATGGGGCATTGCTTACCTCAAGGACTGGTGGAAAGCTTGGTGTACTAATTAAAGGCATTTCACTGTGACTCAGCATCTCCTTGAGCCTCTACAAGCTTCTGTCTTTTAAATACTTGCTGACTTTTGCTTGGAAGAACACAGTGATTAGCCCTCAGTGTCTTTTTCAGGTAGAGCTTTACTTAATGCTCTCATTTTATTCGTTGTGTAATATCAGTCTGATCTCTCTGCTCCTGACCCAGAAGAAATAGTAAATGAAGACACAGCAGTGCAGACTCTTTCATGTGGCCAGATCTCTACTTAAACCTAGTGTTTCTTTTCTTTTCTTTTCCTTTTTTTTTTTTTTTTTTTTTTTTTTTTTTCTTTTTTTTTTTTTTTTTTTTTTTTTTTGCCATAGCGAATGTGCGCTTGCCAGAAAGACAGAGAGACAAAGACAGAAAGCGAGAAAGCAAGAAGTCACCTCCCCGGGGAGATAGCCACGCTGCAATCCCTTCTCCTCCATTCTTCTCTCGGGATCTTGGGCACGCACGCACATGCACCTGGCATGAGTTTTAAGCCACCAGGGGTCCGGGATGCGAACCACGGTCGACTACATGGGAGTCCAGCAACATAACCATTACGCTAACTGCTGGTCCCTAAACCTAGTGTTTCTAATGTTCAAGGTTACTAAGAATCCAAGTGTTATACCATAGTCCTAAAACTTTTTGAATCTATTTTTAGGTTCTGTTCTCAGGTCCTTCAAACAACATGCTGCTTCCATCAGCAGATGCTGAAGTTATCCAGGTATGCATGTTGGTAGGTTTTCCCCAAATAGCTCATCATTTCTTAGAGAAATTGAGGACATTGATAGTCAATTTTAACACCATTTATTATAAGATTAAGATACATACACACAGAATAATAAAATAATAAAATAAAATAACATTAATTCTATTTTATAGTAATTACTTGTTTTGGGACCAGCAGTTGACGTAATGGCTATGTCGCTGGACTCCCATGTAGTCGACCGCAGTTTGAGTCCCCTACCTGGTGGCCTAAACTCATTCTGGGCGCACGTTCATGCATGCCCAAGATCCCGAGAAGAGAATGGAGGAGAAGGGATTGTGGCATAGCCATCCCAGCTGGGGGGTGATTTCTTGCTTTCTGTCTCTGTCTCTCAGGAGAGTGCACACGCCCTGTAGAAAAAATATCTCCAAAAGAAATGAAGTAATTACTTGTTCATGGTTTTATCACCCAAATGTGCATACTAAATTATACTCTATAATTTAATATTCTAATTTAAAAATGTGTTTTTCCTTTAAGCCTCTGAATATAATCTACAGGTTCTATTAGTTGAACAAACTAGGTTATTTGGCATGTAGCGTTTCCCACAGTCTAGAATTTTTTGATTGCACACTCATGATGCAGTTCAATATCTCTTTTAGTTCTTTGTGTTTCTTGGAAATTATCAGTTGAACCCAGAAGCTCATGTAAGGTTGATGAGAGCTGATGTGAGGTTGACTCTTGGCAAGACTAGAGACGGTGTAAGTTTCTTTCATCACAAGGCAAGTAATGTCTGATTGTCACTCTTTTTTTATGATGTTAACATATGTTAAGGTACAATTAATTCACAGCAGGTTGCAAAATGGTAATATTTATCATATTTCTTATTTATTTATACATTGAATATTTTTATAAAAAGACAATATTTCTCACACGATATTTTTTACTTTTAGTGGTACAGCTTATTTAGAATGGGTAGAATAAATAACTCTTTCAACTTATAGAATTGAGTTTCAGGATTTTGCTTCATGGAGCCCCTTCCTTTTTGTTTTCATGTAGTATTCAAAGATAGGGTGGCCTTCTTTCCAAAACCTTTTAGTTTTATTACCCTTAACTTTATTTATATTTTTTTTACCCCTCTCTTAGTCCTTACCTGCTCAACCAAATCTCCTCTGAGCAGTTTCTCCTCAGTGAGGGTCTCTGTCCTAGAAGTGTGCCTCCATAGCTCAATTTTAAATTCTCATGGCAGTCAATCTACCCCAGCTCCTTCAAGCATCACTATAAACTTGGTTTAGAGTAGAAGATAAAAAATCTTACTGGTTTCAGTTGCTCAGTTTCAGTCTTCAAATGAATCTACATATTGTCTATTTTTAGGTCTTAGTCTCAAGTCCTTCAAACACCGTGTAACTTCTGTCAGCATAGATGCTGATATTACCCAGGTATATAGCTATTGCTAGGTTGTCCTCTCATGCTTATCTTTTGGAATTCATGGGACTACATGCCAATTAATTATTTTGTAAGTACTATTCATGGTTTTTGCTTTTGCTGTCTATTTTATGTTTTTTAGTTTGCATGTGCATATTTATACATTTTAAAAATATATGTCATTTCTATATCTATCTTCACAGAACTCGCTCAAGTTAGTCTAAGTTTCTATCCATACTAAGACATCATTGTTGAAATTCTAGATATGTTGGTTCAGTTAAAATCAAATCTGTAATCATAACACTCCACACGTCTGAAAAGGTACCGTGTTTCTGCAAAGCTAATTAAATTAATCAACCAATTATAATGAATAAATACCTAGTTTATGCATGGAGTAGAACCATTGAACACTGAAGATGGGAAGAAAATTAAGTCATTTATTCATTAATTAATTTACTTCTTTGTTCATAAAACATACACAACTACATGACTATTTACCATGGCCCACATGGCTGAATATGTTCTGAGTGAGAGCGGCTGTGGATTAGAAATAAACATAAAAACAAACACACAAAGACACACGAGGAGAGAAAAATGGGATAGGTTGGTCCAGATTCCTCTTATGGAGGGAGTTGTGGCCCCACGTTATTTCTAGGTTTATTCTTTTAAAGGGCAAAAAGGGGAGAAGGGTAAGCAGAATGCAAAGCCAGTTATTTTCAGGTGTCAATTGGCTGAAGATGTAAAAACTTCTGATGCCATGTAGTCCTATGCAAGTTTTCTCTTAACTTCTCAGGCGTTTTCTGATTGACAGATAGTTTCCTTTAATGATACTGCCTTGCAATTTCAACACAAAGGCATACAGTTTATTTATTTGTTAGTGGCTTTCATTAGCCTTGCAACAGCAGTCCAAAGAAACACATTTCTACATGTGTTTAAAGGTTACCACTATGTTGCTCAGATCCTGCAGCTCCCTACAACTATTAACTATAGATGCTGTGGTATGAATTAGAATAGCAAGTAAAGAAGACATAAGGCCAACTTTTTCACCATGAAAATTAGTCCATTTAGCACAACTTTCATAACTGCATAGTATGTGTCATGTTTTACATTAAATTCTGTTCTAGATTAATACTGAATGTATAAAAAATCTGACTACCTCCTTCACATCAAGCTCTAGGACCTTAGGAACATCACAGGCTTCTTTGAACTCCATCTTCAAATTGTATATGGGAGTACTGTTTACTTACTAAATGCTTTTAAAAATTAAAAGATAGAAAAAAGTTCAGAAAACTTTTGTAATTTATTAAAGACTTTCCCATGTAAGTTTCACTAAGTATTCATTGAATAAATGTTGAGTATTTGCTTGATTTTATATAAATGCTTATTCCTTCAAAAGTTTATGTTGAAATTTAAGTGCCATTTAAACAGTATTAGAGTTGGGACCCTTCAGAAATTATTAGGCCAAGGACCAGCAGGTGGCATGATGATCAAGACACTGGACTCCTGCATGGCCAATGGCAGCTTGGGTCCCAGACCTGGCTGCTTGAGAATTACCCTGGGCTCATGTGTGTGCATGCCCAAAATCCCAAGAAGAGAACGGAGGAGAAGAGATTCTAGTAGTATGATCTTCCCCCTAGGAGGTGATTTTTCATTTTCCTCTCTCTCTCTGTCTCTTCAGCAAGCACATATACTCTATAGTGAAAACTTTAAAAAAAGAAAGAAATGAAGAAAGAAATGATTAGGCCAAGATACATAAGGCATGCTCTCAAGTGTGGGATTGGTGCTATAATTAGAAGGGTAGGTGCAGCTCTCTCTTTCCCACTTTTGTCCTTCTGCTCTCTGCCAGCAGATGCAGCAATAAGGTCCCTTGATCTTGGAATTCCCAGCCTCCAAAACAATGAGCTAATAAATTTCTGCTCATTGTAAGTTACCAAACCTCAGGCAGCTTTTTGCAGTAGCACAAAAGGACTAATACAGAACAATATATAAGGCACTATTTTAGTTTTGAGGACTAGAGCCAAATAGAATTCTAGCTCTCCTGAAATACATTCCTCCAGGAGAAGAAATATGTTAAACTTACAATGAAACTATCTCAGGCCATATATTGCTCTGATATTTTTAAAACAAAATAATGTAAAAGAGACTAAGGTGCTCCTTAAACTGAGTAATCACAGGTAACCATCCCAAAGTATCCCATCCCTTTTTATTCCCAGAACATAATAACAAAAAGGAAGCAGTCATACAAAGATGAGGTTGTAAAACATGGGCTGAAGAAAAGCTGGTTAAATGGCTCATAGTTAAGGATGCGTTTTGTGTGACCAAGTAAAAGAAATCTGGTGAGTATGGTATGAGATGAGTTATAAAGCAGGGAACTGATAGGAGGTGAAGTTGAAGAGGAACCTGAGAACTGGATTGTGAAAGTCTTCATTAGCCCATGCTCCAACTGCAGACAGAATTCTTTACTATTATTAGTGCTATTATTTTCATTGGATTATTTAAAAAAAATAAAAACTATGGAGTGATTAGGCACTTAGGAAATTATTTATATAGTTCAGATAAGACATGATTGAATGAAGAGAAAAGAAGGAAAGGGAAGGAAATAAAGGAAAAGAAAAAAGGGAAGGAAAGTGGGAAACAAAAGAAAGAAGAAAAGGAAAAGGAAGAGGAAGAGAAATAGTGTAGGTAAGAAATAGTTCAAGTAGGAAATGGGGGAAAGGAAGGAGAAATGGTGATGGCTTAGATTAAGATCGCAGTGAAAATGCAAATGTAAGCTTTTTCCAGCATTCAAGATGTCAAAGCAAGGACGTGGTGGGTCCTCCAGGGCAAAGTTCCGGGTTTCCCTGGGTCTTCCAGTAGGTGCTGTGATCAAGTGTGCTTACAATACAGGAGCCAAAAATCTGTATATCATCTCTGGGAAGGGGATCAAGGGACTGCTGAACAGGCTTCCTGCTGCTGGCGTGGGTGACATGGTGATGGCCACGGTCAAGAAAGGCAAACCAGAGCTCAGGAAGAAAGGTTCTGCCATCACAGGACCAGTGGCAAAGGAATGCGCAGACTTGTGGCCCAGAATTGTATCTAATGCTGGCAGCATCCCATGATTCTCCAGTGTGTTTAAAAAAAAAAAAAAAAAAAAAAACCCAAAACATTAAGAACTATTTGCTCAAAAAACACACAAAAAACCCCGCAAATGTAAGAAAACTTTATTAGCAAAATATTTTGAAGATAAAATAAAGAGGACTTGCTGATGCATCACTTATGAAGAATTATGTAAAGTGAGTAATCAAAGCTAACTCTACAAAGTTTTGACTTAAGAAATTGAAAGATGGTGAAACTATTTACTGAGACAAGAAAGAACAGAATGAGTGGATGTGCTACTTTGGAATGAGTAGGAGTAGTGTTTGGGGAAGAATCAAGAGTTCTGTTTCAAACATGCCAATTTTAGATGCATATTTGACATTGAAATGATTATGTCAAGGCCTTACATATATGAGTCTGAGTTGTACTTCCTGTAAGAAGTGTGAGATGGGGATTTAAGTATTAGATCACTAAAATACAGATATTATTTAATTTTACGTGAATTGTAGTGGTTACCTAGGGAGAAAAGACTTCTGTATTACAAGTGAGAGAAGAATCTAGAGAAGACTGAGAAACAAGGTCAGGGAAGTAGAGAGAGAATCAAAAGACATATTATTTCTAAAGCCAAAAAAGTTGTAGATTTGAATAAGGATGGAATGTTGCTGGGATTTTGAGAGAGTTAACAGCAGAGCAATGGTCATAGGACTTGGCAATGACAAGGAAGGTCACTGTCTGCTGTAACTAGGACAAGAATAGTTTCTTGGAGTGATGGGGGATCCAAATCTTATCCAGAATTATTGTTATAATACAAGCAAAGATATCATATCTAAGGGTAAATAGCAAGGGAATAACCGAACGCTAAACTTTATAGTAGTTTAGACACAGATTAGTGCAGAAAAAGTTGTCAAGGCAGATGTTATTTGAGTAGAATCTTAGTGGTAGTTATATTTATAAAACCAGATATAAAGAGGGCATTCTAGGCAAGAAAAGTAGTAACAAGGCAGAGTTTGACGTTGGTATGTTTCCTTAGACTTTTCCTAAGAATAGGGCACCGATGAACTGTTTCCAAAATGAAAGGTAAACTTTAACTTGACAGCAATACTACTTTCTAGATAGCCATGGAGGATGGAATATATCAACAATCTGAAATTCCTGAAGCTTCATTCTCCATTGTTAGTTACAAGCTAACCATATGCCACTACTGAGACTTTGAAATGTGAAAAGTAATTATTAATATTTTATTTAAATTAAATTAAAATTGAAATGGTCACAAATGGCTAGTGGCTACCATATTGGGCAGTACAAGTATGTTTTTATCATCACAGAGAGTTCTCTTGGATATCACTTCTTTACAGGACAGATTCTTTCTCATTGACCTTAATGGCTAAGGGAAACATAAGGACTCCCTGATTTGAGTAAAGATTGAAAGAAAAGGGAATCTGAATACTTCTCAACCTGCCCACAGAGGTAGGAGATACACTGACTATCAGGTTATGGATGATTTCCAAAGGTAGATGAGATTCAGAAAAAAAAAAAAAAAGTCACAGTGAAACAGACCAGCTGTCAAGAGATGTCATGTCATTGTTCACAACTTAAATAAGAATTACAGCATAAAACTCAACCTGAGTCAGCTAAGCATGCCAAGGAATTAAGACAGCTGCTGTCAAACCACACTAGTCCCAATTCCCCCAAAAGAAGAGAGAGAACAGGTTTCTTTGGTCACATTAAATTAAAAAGTTCTAAATAAGATATAATTAGGTAGTAGTATTGCTTCAGAAATATGATGATGCATGGAAAACTAACACACTAATTCCTTTTTCACTAGTTAGTCTTATTAGTTATACCATGATTCCACGGTAAGAAAAATTGAATGCCAGTACTTCCATGCAGCAAATTAAAAAGTTTCTTTATATTTATTCTTTTATCAATTTTTAGCAATTTACACTTAAATTATAGTACTGAATGTATCCTATTATCTGTCCTGTTGTTTGGTACCCACTCTTCTATGGTACTTATTGCCTTATTCATTTCTCCAAAATCCAGCTTTGATGACATCATTCTCCCTGTCTTCTCCCATAATTTCAGAACTTCTACCATTTGGTCTCTGACTTTCTGTCACATTTGCTTGCTTTCACAATCATGCCCAGTTCATGGCAATGGGTCAATCCTCATTCACTCTATTTACTGAACATGTAGAAAACTGATGTCTGGAGAAGAGCAGAAATGTCTAAGAAGGCACAGTAAGTTAAAGCCTTATTTGTTATTGTACTTAGTTTATTCAGGTTGTGGTGTGTTAATCACATTATTTTTTGAATGACTGCCTATATTAGTAGGTTATTTGGCATTAAACTAACCAGAGTTTGAGAGAGATGACATCTCATCAACTTTCATCTTCTATTTCTCCATAGAGTTTAATACAAATCAAAGTGAATAAGGAGAAACTAGCCCAGCTAGTATGCATACTTCTTGATTAATTGATTTATCCTCAGAATATTGCATTTTGATGATACCAGTGTTAACTTATATGCAAGGGCCCTAGACATGAACTAGATTCTCAGTTCACTCTGGCATCATACATGACTGAAAATAGATTAATTTTTTTCACAGGAACATGCTATCTTTGAGAAAAGCTATTGGTAGAAACCTTACATATTTAAAAATTAATGCTTAATTAAATTCAGGATTCTCTCTATTCATTCTGTGAATATCATTTAAATATTTATTCTGAGCCAGGTAGTGTATTAGGCAATAAAACCGCAAAGGAAACAAATGCAGTCAGTATCTTAGAGATGAGTGGAGAAACTGACGTAAGTCCTGCGAATGAAGTCCAGTCACGGTAACTTATGTTCTGAATATTTGTCTGATGGCCCTCTGCTCTAAGTCCACTATTCTATATTGTAGTCTAGAAATATTTCTCCTATATATTTTTTTCTTTTTAGCCACCAGAAGAATTATATCCTTGAAGAGAAAGAGAAGAGAGAGAGAGAGGGACAGAGAAAGAGAACCCCTTTAAACAGGACGTGGTCAGGCAACAGTCTTTTTTTTTTTTTTTTTTCTAATCTGACAGGACTTTGGGCACCCATGCACATGCCTGGTACTTTTTAAACCTTCTGAGTCAGAATTCAAGTTATAGTTGGCCATATGAGATCTAGCACCTGATGCACTGTACTTCAGCACTGTGCTATAGGACTAGCTCTCTTCTGATTTTTTTTTTAAATAAAGCAGTTTTAGTTTTAAAAAATCAAAATTTAAAAATAATTTAAAATTTTGATATTAGTCTGCAGGTTTCAAGGCAAGACTGAATTCAAAACATGAGTCCTAAATTAAGACACGCAAGAAAACTCAAAAACAATGGGCAGAGATAAGGTCTAACAAGAGGCACAGTATCATTTTCTTCGGAAACGTTTTTCTCTCAAGTCCCCCTTTGACAAAAGTGAGGCATAGTAAAACTGACTTATGTATGGGGAAAGTAGGTGGTGTGGTGACCCAGGTGCTGGATTCCCACATGGTCAATTGTGGTTCAAGTACTGGTCCCAGAAGGTTGAAAATCATGCCAGGCACATGTGTGTGCATGCCCAAAATCCCAGGAGGAGAACAGAGAAGAAGGGACTGTGACACTCTCCTGAATTTTTAAGATATCTTTTCCCACAGCTTTTACTTAGACTTTGCCAATAGAAAGTAATAAAGGAAGGCTGACAGGTGACTTGTGTCATTTTCTTAACAATGACTTGTGTCATTTTCTTAACAATACCCCAGATGACCTTTGCTCTAGCATCCAGATTGTTCCAGCAACCTCAGAACTAGCCTTACTATACTCCTTCAAAGAAACTATCAGCACTTGCAGTCATATTTTTGACTTCAAAAACAGAACTGATTTCACTGGATTTCTTGCAGAAAAGATTTTTTAAAAACAATGACACATTCGAGGCTTTAAATCCAAGTTCAAGTCTTAGCCTTTAAAAAAAAATTCCAAGATGTTTATAAAAAATATTTCTTGTATCTGTCAGATATTACTTATGTGATAAATAATTTAGTTATATAAGTTAGTTGCACAATTATAAATGGGAAAGAAAGAATGATAGACCCTTGAATTCACAGATTCATTACATTTTACAAAGGAAAGCTGGAATACTTGTGGGAATATTGGGTCCCTGAGATTGAATAGTTTATCTAGGTTGACTTGGATGAAGCTGGAAATTTTGAATCCCCAAGTCTTTCTCAGAAGCCCCTTTTCTAGCACATGCAGCTCTTCCTTTCCCATAAGCTCTTCCTTTCTCTTGCTCAAAATAACCTCACCTGGGGTGATTTCTTGGTGAGGAGGGCATGCCACCCTGCCTCCCTACCACTTAACCCCTGCAAGATCTACACCCAGCTCTTATGGCCCCTAAAATTGACATTCTAGCAACTCAAGATGATACAAGCAGTCTGACCTTGGAGAAGGCTTGCAGTTCTAAAGAAAAGCAAGATTTTGCTAATTTATATCGAAAGAAAACTAAGCGGCTATGTATGTTAACTAATTAAAAGGGTTTTTAGACAAAGAGGGATACAATATATCATTTGATTGGGTTGAATTTTTTTGACAAAAGTGCACAAATCTGAGATTCTGGATGTAATATATTGGCTTGTGCGCTTCAGTGGCTGTAACAGTTTCTTTCCTTGACTCACTAAATAGTTAATAAAGATGAGATGCTAGGAATTATTTGACACAATATAAAGGAAAGAATCCAAAAGAGGTAAGAGTTTTGGGATGCATTTATTATGGATGAAGTAATTTCCCATCTAATTACATATATTGAGAAGACCCAAGGGTAACTACTTTCATTAAATTATCGATAAACATATTTATATAAAGTATGGCTTCCTTTAAAAGTTTTCTAGTTGCATTCTTCTTTATCTGCAGACCAGGTGTCTTAATCTATTAGTGCTTCTAGAAGAGAATATCAGAGATTGAATGATATATACAGAAAAGTGGTTTATTTGACTCATGATTCTGATAATTGGAAAGTCCAAAGATGGTGCTAGA